GAGTAGGAGGAGTAGTAGCAGTAGTAGTAGGAGGAGGAAGAGGAGTGTCGTAGTTATCGTGGGTGTCAGAACTCATGTATGTAGTGAACTCAGTGTTTCAGCGCAGGATAAAACCAGAAGTGCGGACAGGATCAAAGCGGAGCACGACGAGAAGGATGAGGGTGGAAAACGAAACGTGAAGCCGACAAGTAGAAAAGCGGAGGAGCATAAGAGCGCATCATAAACGCAGCGAAGCAGAAAGAAGAAAAGCAGAAAAGCAGAAGCAAGATCAAGCAGAAAACGATAAGCAAACAGAGGCAGAAGGCAGAAGGAACAGCGAAAAAGCAGATACCCGGAGGAACAGAAAAGCGAAGCAGACGAGCAGAGAAGCAGAAAAGCACAAGCGCGGACAAGCAGAAAACTACAACCAAGCAAAAGGAGCAGGTAGAAAGGGAAAGCCCAGAGGACCAAGGGACCAGAGGACCGCGGACCAAATGACGGCGGGACCAGTGGACCACGGGACCAGAGGACCGCGGGACCGGAGCGGCCGCAGAAAAAAAAAAATACCCAGAGAAAAACAACAACAAATCCTAAGAAACAATACCATTCCCCATTCAAGCATCAAAGGTACAAGAAACACACAAACACGCATAGGCACAGGCACTAAAAACTTCCAGTTCAAGTTTTCATGGACAGGTCTACGGATTAGGATGCACCTGGCAGATTCTAAGCTTCCGAGCCGAGCAGCGTCCTTTGTCGAGATTTCCATGGATTCTAGAAAGCTCGCCAGCTTCATCGTATTCAATGCAGCCTCCGATATGGCAACAGCCAGCACTGACTTGGCAATGCTTACAGCATCCTGCAGCGTTCGGGTCGCTTAGGCTAACTGCCCACACTTGCAGGTTGCGGCCCTCAAGGCCTTCAGCTCATTCACGCTCACCATGTTAGAGCCGTCAGCATCCATCTCGTTGAACATGGACTTCAATCCACGTACCTTTTGTGGCCCAATGCAGCGCCGCAAACAGCAAAACGAGTATGTTGTTGGCGGGGCAGGCGGCAAGCCGACTGCGCGGGTCTATGTGTTGAGAGAGAGAGAGAGAGAGAGAGAGAGATGTTTGTTTGTGTTTGTTTTTAAAATTTTTGCCAAACGAAACCGAGGAGCATGAGCCGCTTCTTTTTCCATTTGCACCATGACGGCAATCTCCTTGTCCGCTTGTGCAGACTCAATAGCGGTGTGGCAAAACACACCAGTTACCTGAAATGCTGCTTGTGCTTTGGCAGTGAATCACCTACGGTATTTGCATTGCGCGGCAGGCCACAGCGGCATAGTTCTTGTCAGGATGACATTATTATGTTACTCATGCTGCAACTTCGGCATGCCTATCGTTTCATTGCAGATACTTGTGGTCACACAGTGCAAAAACCACTTCTGCTAAACTGGCCAAGATGCAACATTCAATACTGCGAACACAGTAATTACGATGTAAAAGATCAAGAAACCCACAGCAAACCACGAGATCCGCTGCAAAGGCTCCAAGAGTTCGTGCCAATTAGCACCCGAGGAAATCACCATGAAAAGCGAGAGCATCGTTCGAGCAACAGTTGGAAAATGCTTGCGAGCATCATCGTCCGTACAATAAGGCACTGCGTTTGCATCTCCAGTCGCACTGATAGTCTCCAGCCGGCAGTGATCGGACACAATTTGTGTAAAGATCACGCCGAAGCTGTAAAAAAGCAAGACCTTAGCCCGACTTGCGTAGATTCTGAGATGCCAGTAGATGAGTTAGATGGTTGATTCAAGTGCATCAATTCCTCCTGACAAGCCTTTACTTTACTTGACCTGGTGTTTCGGTTGTTTGCCCAGTTACGAAAAGCATGTACAGGCAGCAGCCATGTATCCCCACGAGGACCGATGCAACATGCAGTATGCATTTTTGTGCACAGGCATAGGTTGTGCTGCGCGCAGGGACACGGCCAGGAATGGTGAGTGACAGGGACACGAACTGGGACACAGACCGCGTCACCGACCGGAACACGATCGGAGCGCGACCCGGCCCGGACAGAATGCATGTGTGCATGTATGTATGCATGCATACATGGCATGGGGACGACAGGAACTTTACCCGCGGATGCCGGAAAGATTGACGAGGCAACTAACGTGTTTCGTCGGGACGGGACGGACGGGTCGAGACGGGACGATGCACCTTTCGATGTCATGAAGTGCTATTCGATGTCCGGGAGTCTTTTTTCGATGTGCGGGTGTGCAATCCTCTCTGAAAAGGACACCGCCTGGGAAATAACGGAACAGGAAATGGACAAGACACGACCAGCCCTTGACCGGGACTCCAGCGGAACACCGACTGAGACAGTCTACGTCTACGACCAACAGGGTCTCTTCAAAGACGAAACGGACCCGGACCGGACACAGACCAGAACACCGACGGGGATAACCGGGACACCACGTGCACACCACCAGGACACGAGACCAAAGCACTGATGACCTGGACAACGACCGGGACACCGACCACGGCACCGATCAGGCAACCACCGGGACACCACCGCGGCACGCCGGAGATACCGACAACTGAACACCAGGAGGAGGGACCTTGACACCACCGGGACACCGACTCGAATTCACAGAAGACCAGGACCACGACACTGACACCCCAGAATCAGGCCGACTGGATAAGTGAAGGATCCCATCATACAAGTACTTAGCAGCGATTTTTCCCCACCCGCTTCCCTGACTGGGTCGCACTGCCTTCGCAGCTATTAAAGCTATTGGCTATTGGGGAACCACGCGTGTTCAGAGCTTGGGCCGAACCTGCATCTGAACCTGGAACGTCAAGACTGCCATCAATACGTCATACAAAGCCCTCCACACACAGTCTTTTGAGTCTACTGTTGTGCATGTAGTCAAGCCTTTTAAACAACTCGGACAGGCTCGGATTCCCTCGCGTGTATGGCTAGTTCCACGGATCCACCGCAGGTGAACGAGATCCGACAACTCATAGCGGGCACGATGTTTCGACGAGAGGGTCTCTTGCAGTCCCTTAGCTTGTTGTTACGAGCACGGACTGGTACAGTATCGCTTTAAAGTAAGCGTTTCCAAGACAGGCTGTGAAAATGGGTCGTACTCGCCGGAACATAAACCTGTTGACGTGACTCGTACGGTCTTCCTGGCTTCTCCTTCTTCACTTGACTCATTGCTTCCTTTGTCATTCGATCCATCCCTCCTTGACTCGAATATTCCCAAGTCTCTCCTTGCCGCGCCCAAAATAAACGCGGGGGGGTTGAGAACACCGATAGAGGCCGCAAGCTTCCTTGGCGTCTCCAACGCCTCAGGCCCAGGCCAGTAAGACCATAGTCCACATGAGACTTCCCATGGTGCTCACGATGGAGAAGATCAAACCGCGAAGAGCGCTTACATACCGAAGGAATCTGATGACCCGAAAGCCTCTGAGTGCACGTATCACACGAACGAATCGGAGGGAGCGGATGTGGACCATGTGGGTGCCAAGTGATGCTTGGGCAAAAATCTCGATGAAGGACTCCACCAGTGAGGCACCGATAATCAAGGTGTCAAAGAAATTCCACCATCGCTCCGCCCCACAGACGAAGTCTTGCAGCCCAAGGCCAACAATCTTCAACACGATCTCGGAAGCGAAAATGCATACGACCGCTAAGTTGAACCAGTTGAACCACTCCGGCATGTCTAATTGGCCGTGAGTCGTGCCCAGGTCTACCTCAACACCGAGACAAACGAGGTTTATCGAGATTAAGATGAGGATGAAGTGTCCAAGCGAGGGTGAAGAGGCCAGCTCTTTGGCACGTCCTCGGAAAGATCGAGCTGAAAAGCACCGCCAGGCTTGCCTTTCGCTCTTCTCCTTCTGAGCAGCAGCTTGCGCCCTGGAAAGGGCCTCGGACTCGACCGCTTCAACGAAAGTGGTGCGAGAAGCATCAGTCTTGAATACGGCGTCATTCGGCGCCGTCACCTGAGCGACTGCGACAGGTGTGAACTCCTGCGTCTGTTGCGGCTTGGCGGAAGGCCTCGGAACACTTCCGCGAACGCAGAGGCAACCAATGGGTAGTGCATCCAGAATATACAACATGATTCAACATGTCTCTGTCTAGAATCTAGAATGCTCTTTTTCTTCTGAAACCCTAGCCGCCCTAGCCTCAAGTACACTTCTCGCAATCTCCTGTCGACGGGACAGCTCGTATGCAAGTGAGGTTTCCCTGCATTGTTGGGTCCATATGCTGATAAGCTAAGGCAGCTAAGGGCCTTCACAGTGGCCTTTGCCAAAAAAGGCTCGGCGAGACAAGATCTCGTGCAGGATTGCACTTAACAACCATCTGTAAACCCTGGCACGATTACATAAACTTGAGTATGGTCCAATAAACTGTTGCAACCTCGAGGCTTGTGGCTAAATTTCGCAGCCTCACCAATCCCATGAGTGCCAACTCCTCGAACATCCAGAGTCTTCGTTTTGGCTGAAAGCCAGTGCTTGGAGGTGTTCGCCAAGAAGTGCCTTATAGTCGCAAGTTCGCCACTCACCTGTTTTGAATTGTCCGATAGCTCCTGAAGCAGCTCGTGCTGACTGCTGAGCTGGCATAGTAGACTTTCACGTAACTCCCGTAATTCAACGTCGGTCTGTCCAGTTCGCGCAACTGCACAGCACTCCATCGATGCCGCCATGGCTGATAACACACATGCAGAGATGCTAAGCGCACTGAACCCGCTAACCTTATGCCGTGCCACTGCATGCTGCGCCTACACGAATGCTGAACAATGGAAACACCCCTGGACTCAGTGATGAGTGATGAACCACAGCCTGTTTGCCATGGGTCATCATGGTGCATCGTGCCACATGATAGGATCACACTGGAAACGCCTTGCGCACACAGAGGCCCGATGATACCAGAGTTCGGCACATCCGCATGCAAGCAATGCACTGAGATCAAGATCGAGCTATCTGCGACCTATGGCTCAATCTATGATTCTCATGGCTTACATCTCAGATTGCAGCGATGCGAGTGTGCCTGAACCTCTCGTCTTTATGCCGAGGCCTCGGCAGGGTGAGCTGCTTCTTTCGGATGCCATCGCCTGCAAGCCGCACTGTCAAGCAAGCAAAGAACTTCTTCCAAGGTCCAAGAAAGACGCGCTTCAAGTCTGGCAGTGGACGATACTGCTTCTAGTGCAGAGCCTTTTCGAGACCCCAGCTCTCCTGCAGTGCCGATCAGCTGCTCTGACAGCCCGATGATGCCGTGCAAGGGCGATCTGCCGGTGCGCACCAAAAGGATTCACAGCGCTAGCTGCAATTGTGCGACCATGAGGCCGAGCTCCCCCATGCAAGCCATGCAGCTCCATGGACGCAGGTAGACATGCTCCACAAGCTTGTCAACCCAAGTAGGGCCAAGTATACTGCTGTAGCCGAACCACACGAGTAGCATCCCGCCTGAGCTCGTGCGTCACGGCAGCAGCCATGTTGGACTTCTTAACATCCAACTCCTGCCGGTTGCAGCACCAATCGGCACTGCAGCAAAGCAGCATGCCCGAGCATGCCCGAACTCAAGCGAACAGATGTGAAAAGATCTGTGAAAAAGTATGCGGTAGACCGCTTCTCACAAGAGCCCTCCAGAGCAGCAGAATGCTCCAGAGCAGGATGACATCACCGTCCGATGAATTCGATGAAATGCTATGATTAACTTACAGCCATTGTATGGTACGCCAAAATTACAACACTCCATGTGATCCCACGGCACGTGCGAGGCATTAAGCATGCAGTATCAAACACGTTCTGTTCGCCCGGTCGGCAGTTAGCACGGGCTCTTGTGTTGTCACGGAGAACTGCGAAAGACAAGGTAGTCATACCGTACGAGTAGCAGTTTCAAGGAGTAGGTTGCAAATTGTTGAACCATTCATACTCTGAGTTGATTTTGGGCCCGTTTGAAGTACAAGTGCTTGCATCGATCGAAAATTACGACTAAAGGAGATTTAGAATATCATCAGTCGGTGGAACATCCATTGCTCGCTTTTCTGTGGAAAAGTCAGTGAAGGAGCATCGCAAGGTCACGGTGGAATATATCAATATATCAATATATCATATCACATTCCACGCAAGCGGCTTCGCTGACGACAGTATTGATATTGTGTCCTTCATCTCAGTGATGTCTTGCCCGATGCATATAGCACCTTTGGTCATGCCATCACCTGACTTCTACTGGCTGCAGCAAACAAGCAGCTGTCAAGCAACAATGCGCGCAAATCCTTTTCAACATGCTGACTGTCTGACCTGGGTGTTCAACAAGAGACTGCCAGCTTGGAGCAGGGCTACCCAAGCGAGGGGTGCAGCTCAGGAGCAGGACAACATAGCCCTGGAGGCTTCAAGCGCCGTCGTGCAAAACAACAGATCGTCGCAAAAGCCTGGGCCCTTGCCTGTGAACGAGTGTCGAGCAACACCTCCGAACTTGTAGACTTGTGAGCGAACACTGACACTCTACTCACTGGCACAGAAGCCTCAGCACAAATCAGCATGAAGGCCTGCAAGTTGGCCTTCGACTTGCGCTCTTCGACCACCTCTTTCAGAACATGCGCGACCTGCCGAAGAGTTGAGGTGGGACTGACCCATGAAGGTGTGACCAAGCTCTGAAAGTCTCTGACGACGACCTTTGTATGCCTGCAGCATCGCGTTCTGATCAGCAGGGTTAGAGCATCTTCAGTGACAGCATGGCTCGCGATCGTAGTGAAACAGGCAGCAGCACTGTCTTAGCGCCAGCTGCACATCACCTGGCCATGGCTGCTCTCCACTGCAAACTCTCAACAGAAACACTGCAATAATTGCATCGCGAGATTGAAAACTAAGAAACAGCAGCCGGCGGTTCAGCCTGAGAGCAGATACAGTGAAGTGGCTGCGCGACGACGCCGCAGCCGGAAAAAGTGCACTACGCATCCGGAGCCATTGATTTTCAACAATCCGACAGACCACCAAAACAGGCCAGCTGGTACTGAAAGCAACCTTGACTTGCAGCCATCTGGCTGAACTAAATCAACCTGCAGACGACCTGGCAAGGTTTGTTCGATCGCTGCCATGAGCCTTTGGCACATCTGGCGCGAACTCTGCAACCCGCTTCCTCAAAGGTGCTGGCTCAATTAGACCCGCCAAAGATCCACACGCATTTGTCGTGAACTAGTAAGTACGCATACCGAAGGATGAGAGGGAGCTAGGACCAGCCATCGCGCCCGCATTGAATGTCAACAGGAGCCTCTTAGGGCGTCGAAGACCCTTTCCAAAACCGCACAGAATGGATCCTTTGTCGTGGAAGCAGGCAGAGTGAACTTGGGTGTCGCGGTCTCAGAGCTTCAGAATCACTCCAGCCAAAGCTGGGAGCATTGAATTTTGTTTCTCACAAATGCTCCTGCTCCATGGCTTCATCTGTGGAAATGATTCCTTAGCGAGAGATCATGCGCAAATCTGCGGAAATGAGTCCTCAGCGACAGATCATGCATGAACTTGTTTGCGTGCAAGGCACGATACTGCGCGTGGCTTCTGTGGAACAGACGCCACCTGTCCAAGAGTTCGGGGTCCTTGATCTTGTAGCCGTGGTCCTCGCCTCAAGCCGCACCGAAATGCAGATGTTAACTGAAAGCCCGCCTGTTTCCGCGGATGGAGCCGTCACTGCGATACGTGCAAAGTGCACTTTTGCGAATACCGGCTCTCCACTGTTTGCACAATCAACTTGTGCATCCTCTACATCCTATCAGACCTGTAGCGATCGCTCTTGCAGCTCAGAGATTCTCAGAGTCCATATCGTACTCAAGCTCAGGCCCTTGCAGAACTCCAGCTTGATGTTCTCAAGTGCAATCTGGTTCTCGTTCATGAATGAATCCAGCAGCACCCTGAACGTGACCGGGAAGTGCTGCACCTTGAGCAATTCTCAGTCAAAGCCGAGCAGTACGAAACAGTTTCCGCTGAGATCCCAACAACAGCCTTCTCCCATGGAAGTGCAGTGCCAGAGATGTGGCTAACCAGCTCCATCTGGCCTTAGTCTTAACCCGGCCTATCCGATGCCTATCCTATAAAAATCAAGGATCTAATGGTTTCCCACCAACCAATCCAAAACCAAAGCAAAACATACGGACTCAGAAAAGCGAATGGACTCAGACAAGCACAACCAATGCAAAACAAAGCAACTAATGGACTCAGAAAAGTGCGAACCAATGCAAAAAAAAGCAACGGCCAACGTGGCATCGGAAAACGGAACAGATGGTCCCCACGTGTAGGAAAAAGCAGAAAAAAGCAGAAACAAAGCAAAACCTAGGCAGTGCATACAAAAACACTGCAAGATGGCATTTAAAAAAGGAAGCAAAAAACAAAGCAAAACCTAGGCAGTGCACACAAAAACACTGCAAGATTGCAGCACACTTGTAGGAAAAATGCAAAAAGCAAAACTCAAACCCAAATAAAGCAAAAGTCAACAAACCTGCAAGGAGATGCTTTCTCAATTGCTTGTTGACGTATTTTTCTGTTTTCTCAACCCATTTGGTCTGCTTTTTCTACCCACTGTGTTTGCTGTTGTTTTGCATTGCTTTTTGCCGATTGCTGTTTTGACCCATCCTTTTTGTGTTTTGGAACCCATTGATTTTGCGTGCGTTTTGCCTTTATTTTCCCAATTGCTTTTTTGGGCCCATTGTTTTTGCTTTTGGGGACCCATTGAGTTCTGCAGCGTTTCCGGAAATATTTATTCATCTCAGATTTTATAGAACAGGCATTAAGGCTCGGTTTAACCTTAGTCAATCAATAATGACAATAACCTACCCCGGCCGAGGCCCTTGATGAGGTTGCCTCCAGGCTTGGCTTGCAGCACCTTAGCGAGCCTCAAGTTTAGCTCCCAAAGTCAGCTTCGTTTCGTTTCCCATCCCCCCACCACTCACCCATGCTAGTTTGGTCGCTTTCGTTCAAGTGCTTCCAACGAGGGCTCTAGGGATGTCATCCACCTATCGCCTGCTTCAGCGTCTGCTCGCGGCCCAAAGCCTCAAAGCTCTTCCGGCTGCTGAGCCGTCGTACTGTAGCCGGCACCAAAGGGGCACTGCTCTGCCCACTGGCCATGTCGTGACGTGAGAAGCGAAAGACCCAAAAGACTGATCCAAAACAAGCTGAGGCCGACGCTGTCCTTGCAATGTAATTCCTAGAAGACAGCTGTGGAACCGTTCGGAAAAAACGGAACGAACTTGTTTGCACGTTCGACGCGGTCAGTTCGAGCTGGCGCCTTGAACTGCACCAGGTGTGGGAGAATGGCAGCACGCAGGGCTGTGTCCACATCATGCTCGAACGACTTGTCCTGCGAGGCAGATCACAGAACGTGTCAAGGCAACAGTGTTACAGCCGGGGTTTAGAGGCGGGTGGCCCAAACAAGAACAAATGCCGTGCCCATGTCGCAGCATGTTCAAACTGCCAGCCGCTGCGATTGAACTCGGAAGATGCTACTATAGACTGCATACATGGCCGGTCCTTGTAGTGATGGTAAGGGTCATCGTAAGCATCTCGGAAATCGAACATCATCTGGCTCAGGTCCCGCCTGGCATCAAACACTACAACGGCAGAGCTGATGATTTTTTGCTGTGCTGGCGTGTGCCTTTCGACATGGAAGCGGTAGATGCCGTCATAGACGCAATCTGCTCGCTTCAACAGCATCCGTCGCACTCCGCAGCCCAGCACCTCCGCCCCACGACTGCGCAACCCTATACTTGGTGTCTACATTCTTTGGCGTTTGCCTCTGGCCTTCTCATTGTCGGGGGAGGGCAGACTCAAAATAAGGGCTTTCCAGTTCATGTCCGGCTCGTTAACGTGAACTTCCTCCACCGTGTGGGACGGTAGCAAACGCGAGCAAGCATGCGAAGAGAAGCTTTCGCACCTGCAATGGTGGATCCTGTGACGTGCAGATCTGGTGGTACTTGGTGTATAATGCCTGCGTCCGGGATTTGCTCTACCCCGTGAGCTGCAGCGCCAAACCAAATCGGCAGGTCCACAGGATTCCGCAGGCTCAAACCTCTCACCTCCATGGTGCTCGCGGCCGGTTTCCGCAAGCCTGAGAGCTGGGCCTGTGCCGACTCACTGGAACGCTCTGCCTCTGCCAATCTCTTGTCATGAACATGGTCCTTCATCTCAGCCACGGAGGGCTTCCCCGCCCGTGCTTTCCTCCAGTTGCCACGACTTCAGAATCTGGCACAAGAAGCACCACCAATCAAAAGCTTTATATTATTCGACAAGTTTCAGCGAGCTTGGCATGGCACCGAAGCGTGCGGGCACCCCTCCCCGTGGCCATAGGAGCCCAGCTGGCTAAATCAACCGGCAAAGCTGATCAATCGTGCTCGAGGCTTCCTGCTGGCAATGCAACTTAAAGTGCTCCAAGAAAACTCAGACACGAAATCTTGACTTGAGCTAGCTGTCCCGCTGTTTTGTCTTTTGAGCGCATCGAAACAGTGTCTTCATGCAATGTGGAGCTGCTCTCACTTCTCAGACGTCTGGACCATTGCAAGTGGTGGTAATGGGGCCGGAATATCAGGAGAGACCATGGCCATCGCGTGGTAGGCACCCTGTTCTGCCTGCTGCGAATACGATGGCAGGCTACCATCAATGGACCTGGCACTGGTCGGGCAATGCAACGCTGACACAGAACCCACAGCAAGCGATTAACTAGCACAGTGCCCAGTAATTCTGTGCTACCGTGAGGCCTCGCAATGTCAAAGTACTTGTTGGCCCGCTCGTCATTCTCTGAAGCCGTGGCCATGAACTCTTGGGCTTTGGAGTGCAGATTGCTGGCCTTCCGCTCTGCCTGCGGAGTCTGCACAGTCTGCCACGCGCGGGATTCCTTCTCAAGGTACTGCGCATTGCGCTCCGCTGCCAAGGATGCCTCGGCCAACTCCTTGCCTCGAGAGGCATAAGCATCCCGCACTTTCACGGCATTCTGCATGGCATCGGACCATGGCTTCATGCCATCTGCAGCAGCCTTGGAGGTTGCCAAGACCTGCCTTTTTTGGGCCTCCTCGGACTCGGACCCTGGCCCCGCCATGGCATTGGCCTTTGCGGCAGCTCTAGCTGCCTGTTGCATAGGGGGCAAGACCTCCTTGAGTACCCCAAAGGCTTCTGCATGCGCTTCTATCTTTGCCATGTCTAGCACTTTTCGAACCTTCTCTTCGGTGTTCATCGCCATGACCGCCGCTTTCCGGGCATCTTCCTCTGCCCGGGCTGCTTTCGACACCACGGAAAAGCCTGCGTAGCTGGCTTGCTGGACGGCCTTCGCTTCTTCCATGGCCTTGGTGGCTGCCTTCTTCCCGTCTTTCAAGGCCTTCTCCATGTCCGAGGCTTCCAGGGAGGCCCATGCCTTGGGAGCTTCGGGTTTCTTTGGCTCCCGAGCCAAGACGGTCTGCCAAGACTTCTTCCTCAAGTGCTGAACGGCACTGGGCTTCGGTAAACGAATGTTACCTTCTCCACGTGAGGACTTCCTCTCCTCGAAAGACATAGGTCTGCAGGTGTCCCCCGCTCGGAGGTCTTCGTTGCCCGGCACGCACTCCACAAAGCAGAATCGCTCGGTGTCCAAGAGGCTCTGGGCTGACTCGATTGTGGCGTCATCTGCATGCTTGGCACAAAGGCTGTCACACCTCGGTGCGGTTGTGACTTTGGGCTGAGCGAAACTGCACTGCATACCTCCTGGGAAGTCTTGTTCGCGGCTGGCCGCGGTCTCGCAACAGTCGCAACTGCACAAGCTGCGGCGTGCGGCGAGGACCATTAAGGCCTGTCCTGCCAGCACCATCGCCAGCAGCTGCAGAGGCCACTTCATTTCGGAACAGCTTCTCGCTCCTTCTAACAGTACGAAGCACGCAAGTGCGTGCCGACTGCAAGCATCGAAGCTGGACACAGCCGAAAAGGTGCGGCGCATGTGTGGCATCAAACAGAACTCTCCCTAAAGGTATGCCTCGCATGCGAGACTATGTGCACACACAGGCCACAGAACGAAGTGCACCACTCGGCATGCATTCGCTGTGCACCAAGCGACAAGGACAACCACGAAAAAGTACATCGCACACACAGTAGGAAAGGCATGCCTCGGTGGCACAGCTGTCTCGCACATACAGGAGAAGGTCCTTGCAAGGTAGGTGTCGAGACGGCATCTTTGAGCAGTCTGTGAGCATGGCGGATAGAGGCTAGAGCATGCCAACAAAGTCATGCGAAGCCACAGGCAGACCTTGCCAGCGGCTTGATTCGAAGTGATGCCTGTCATCTCCTCGACTCGGTTATTCCACCTCATGAAGAGCTGAGACTGATGTGCGGAGGGGAGGAGTGGCCTCCCCATACATTTCTGGGCAAACCGGCTCCGTGATGCGGTTGTTCCGGTCCACAGCGATGATCGGTGCAGCAGCCTTCACGGCCACAACAGCCAAAGAAAGGGATTGCAACAAGGCCACAACAGAGACGCCGGCCGAATGGATGATGTTCTGCAGCTCAGAAGCGATTCGAACCGCCTGCTCACCCCGATCTCTTTTTGTCAGCAGGACTATCCACCACGGCTGCCACGAACGATGTCGTCACAACTGCTTCACAACCCCGCTAACAGCCTCACGAACCGGCAGGACAAAAGCATGCTATTTGTATGCTAGAGTGGTGATGTGCCTCCTGCTTCTGCCTGTTCATCTCTGTTATGTCCTGAAAGGCACCAAGAGCAAGCACTTCATGGCCGACTTCGAATCCCGTGTCCTGGCCAACTCCGATGACTCCAATAACTTCACCATCCCTGGTTCAGTACACAAGTGTTTGGTGCGATGGGGGTGCGAACACTGCTGTAGTGCTGTTCGGAACCCATCGGAGCTCACTGCACACACCCTGCATAGCCTAGTGGCTTTGAGTCTTTTTGTCAGGCGGCTTCCCCTCTGCACTAGTCTCCGATTTCACGCTGACTGCCGAAATGCCGGGTGGGCCCGGAAAAGAATGTCCGATGTCAAGCAAGCCTATCAGTAGCACATCGGCACATCTGATTGTAGTTGCGACTACTACGTCTTAATCTCAACTGTCGTCTCTCACTTCAGGGTGTCTTGAACACGGCCATGACATGTCATTGAACGCACTCTTGTCGAAGCTTGTGCTGCCCTCAGAACAGCAGACAACGTGAAGCACTGAAGCACTCATGTCACCGAAGCACATTAATTATAGTTCATTGTAGGGTTGGGTTTCGAAGGATACGGATCCGCTCGCGACAAGCAGCAGCTTCAGCTCCGGACTGGTCCTACACGCATCGGTGCTTTCTGACAGGAGAAGCCCCCGAAGCTCAGCGATCACTGCCGGCTTCCTTTCAGTGCAGCTTGGAATTGCTTGGCCTGCCGAAGGCGTGCTTCTCGTGCACAAAGACTCTCCGAAGCTCGAATGCGAAGATGTGCGAAGCATGAAGGTGCACATAACCCTCTGCCACCGAAAGGCGAGCATTGAGTCGCCACTTGAAGTAAGTGGGGTTATAAGCACGGTAACTGTAGTCATAACCCATATTCGGGGACTTACAACCCTACTTATAACCACCCATGAACCTCCAAGCAGGAATATCACCTTTTCTACAGCGCCAGCAAGACCAGCGACACTCAGACGACACCCCTCGCGCTGTTTTGCGCAGGGGTGGTGAGCTTTTGCATTTCTGCGCTGGCCGCTCAAAACATAAATTGCCCAGTGCGACGTTATGCTTTCTGCTACAGCAAGGAGAACATCCCACGGCTATGGCAAGGCGAGCTACGGGTCTGGAGAGATTGAAGTTGAACATCGCAGTGGCGGAGGTCTGCTCAGCCCTCTTTGGAGCAGCGGCCGGTTCGGCGCTAAGTACTACGAAAAGGCCGGTGAATGATTGGACAGCAGTACGTACGCTTCCATTTTTTCACCGTATTATAATAGCTAATAACTACTCAAGTGTCTTTCAGCCGACGTACAATCAGATCTTCCGGCTCAATAACGAGGTCGACCGAACATCTTGATGTTTTAAAGGCTGTGTCTCAGACATGCCATGATGTCCCGACATTACTACGACTACTAAACTACGACTACGACTTGCAGAGTTTCGTGCATGAGCTGGCGAATTCAAGCACGTGAGCCTCGAGGCCCAAGCCCGGCAAAGCTGCAGCCGGATCTGGCACCGTGGTAACCGTGGCACCCTTGAACTTGAAGCATGTGGCACATCATGACGCATCGTGACATGATGCCGCTGCCCTGGTCCTCATCCGAAGCTCCGGCTTTGTGCTTGCATAGATGGATGTGCTTGCCGTGCTTCCCGCACTTTGGCTCTGCCACTGCTGGCTGGCCGCGGCGCATGTAAACCGTTTGCAAGCAGGGGGCTTCGATGCCCACTACCAGTGCCAGGACGGGGAAGAAGCTGGCTAGCCGCTACAGGTCGGATAAACCTTCCTTCCGGATCGCTATGGGGGTCCCCGATGGCCTCCCTGTTCGAGGATCTACCATGAGGTTCAACATCCTTGGGCGGCCCTTGCTCTGGAAAACCCTCAAACAAGGTCTGGCGCAGGGTTCTGATCGGCACACCACGGAGCGAGGAGCCTTCAGTGGCTGCACGCTTCATGACTGAAGTTCCTGAGGACGCTTTGCTTCGCTTGTCCACTTCGCCGGTTGTGGTCTTAGAAGTCTTGAACTTGCGAAGATGCCGTGCAGTACTTGGGGCATCTGCACTTTCTGCCTGCCTATCCTGCCTCACGTTCTTTGGACTTGCCGCTGGAGACGGCCCAGCATTGCCGGCATAGCCCATGACTAGAAGAGGCGACTCCTCGCCCTGCCGCCGGCCCTGCCGCTGCAGCTCTATTGCAGCTTCCACTGCCCCAACGGGATAGGCCGCCAAATCATGCAAGGTTTGCAGAAAGTCAGCCGCCGACATATTTAGCAAGCGCAGCTGCGTTTCGGCATAAACTCTCATCCGCCGCAAAGCATCCCGGTATAGCCTCTCGAACACATCGCGCCCAGCGATGAAGTCTTTCAAGCCTGATTGTGACAGTGCTGCGGCCGCCTCTTTGCTTAACCCTGCTCTTTCCAGTAAAGCTTGTAGGGCCTTGAGCTTGCTTCGAAGATCTGCAATGATGTTCTCTGCCTTTTTGGCCTCCTCTTCCAGCTTTCGCATGGCCTCCTCGGCACGGATTCGCTGTCGCTCTGCCTCTTCCTTGGCAGCTTTCAGTTCAGCGTCAAGGCTAGCACGCATCCGGCCCAGCTCAGCCTGAAAGGCGGAATCCTTCTGTCGGCCCTCGGGGCCGTCGGGAAAATCTCTGGCATCCTTGCTTGGCAGAACCATCGCTGCCGACGTGTTCACACCTACCGAGTTGGTCAAGCCACTCTGCCGCCTGTCCCCGGCCACATCCATAGGCAAACTTTGTATGGCCCGAACAATAGTTGAAAGCTCGGGACTTCCCGAAACAAGGTGCTCACCAAGTGCTGTAAGCTTCCTGCTAAGCTCACCAGCTACTCGCTGCGATGTGGCGTTGAGGGCAGTTTGCACAAGGCCCAAATCATCGCGAGAAAGAACAACTGCAACATCCTGCCCACGAGTAAAACGAGGGTCCAGCGCAGGCAAGGCCATGATATCTTGCACGATCTCTTGAAGGTCGGAGCCATCTGCAAGGCTTTCCCCCAGCTGCAATAACAAGCCACTGAGCTCCCCGGCCACTCGGTCCGCAGAAGCCACCAGTGCTGTCTGCAGCAAGCCCAGCTCAGCCCTTCCGAGGTTCGCGGCCTGCTCTTCGTCCTCCACATCCAGACCGGTACCTCGCTGCACTCTGGACATCTTCTTGTTTCTTCGAGCCTGTTATGATGTGCAGTGCTGCAGCTTTAGAAGCCCAGCGACGCTTCAGAGACCGAGTACTTGCCATTCTGCTGAAAGTCCTCAAGCTGGACAGGGACAAGCATTGAATTTGGACACCTGCCAGACCCCAATGCCACTTGATGCCACCCAATGGCTACTGTAGTTGTCGTTTCACGCAGTTCTGAGGATGGGAAAGGTTGGCAGGAGAACGGAGACAGCTTACGGCGGACGGCTCACAACAAGTACCAAGGCGACTCAAACAGCTGCATCAATTGCTAGCTGGGCCTGAATGCCCGTCTTACTCGGAAAGAATAACTTTCAATGCGCTGAAGCCATGCAAGGATCTTGTCATTGGATTCACGCAGCTCTTCGAGCTCATCCTGAAGCGGCTTCAGGTACCTCGGCAGATTGAAACATGCAACAAGGACCCTCCTGTGGCCGCCGATGCCGCTCGGCTCGCCGCTACATCCCTACTGCCAGGGGGAAGGCCGTTCTGTGCCAGCCAGCTAGCATTGCCAGGAGCTGTGCGTTGGTCACGCAACACACAAATAGATGGCGATGCACAACAGAAAGCTCCGCCGCAGGTGTCGAAAGTAAATTACTTGACAACAAGTGTGAGGACATTCGCAGAATTCTACCTGCCATTGAAAACAAGGTAAAATGTTAGTACAAGGGTTTGGAACGGCCTCGAAAACCAAACCACTTGCAACTACAAACGCACAGGCCTTAAGTCGTTCTGGAGAGTCAGATATATCACTCCAAGTCAGGTTGAATCAGTAAATGTCAGGAGTCAGCCTTAATCCTCATGCCTCGCAGATGCGGAACCCTGGAGTCTCCAAAAACCATTCCAGACATGTGCTTTATGCAAACGCTATTCCCGGAATGGGAGCTGACCTTTCACGCTTGAGAGTTTTCCGGGCTCCTCCAAGAGACATCATACCAACCACGGCTGGTTATTCCAGACAAAGATGACTGATTTTTTTGCCCGACCGCCGGCACCCGAACACAAAGCACAGCGCATCAGGCGCATCATACATAAAATATATCATACCTCGCTGGCAGTCAGTACGCTGTTGAATGTTTTCAACTTATATGGCATATGTTCGAAAAACACTGCACACCGTAACTCAGCATCGTGAGAACGTCCCATCGTTCGGCCATGATGTAGGCACTAGCTAGTTGTCGCTGGCCTTCAATAGTGTTCACAGATCGGCGTATGGGTTAGAGTGGCAAAAGCAAGGAATCCAGAACTCTACACCCCGAAAGGTCTTTCACGGTCATCACGTCTTTCACGCTGGGTTTGGATGGTAAGCGGTCCGCCAGGAATTTGTGCGATTTCCGACATGGCCTTTCACGGATCAGAATGGCATTTCACGGATCAGAATGGGCGTTCACGGTGATTTCACAGTGAAGGGGCCGAGGAGTTTGAAAGGATAAATCCAAACTGACCCAGTGTTGCCGAAAATGATGCAAGTTTGCTAATCATGCTCTTCGGTGTTTGCCCGCATCCATAATTGAAAAACATAATCTTCAACGATTCCACACGGAAGACTTTGGCGCATAGTTCGGTGTGACAGGCTGAGGCGGATTCAGCACATTGCATCGCAGTTGCTACTCAACCATGTTTAGGATGGGTTGTCCGGCAGCAACTTAAGCACGGTATGCTTGACCCTCCGTGGTTCCCGGAACGTGCAATGAGAGCATGATACCACATACCAGGTGACCCTTCATCACGCTGCAAACGCATCGCGTGATGCAGACCACCACAGATCAACACGGAAAGTCTCGATGTGTCTCGAACATATACTCTGGCCCCAAGGGCTGCAATGTGGGTTGAGGGGTTTAGTGCCTGTCTTGTTGTCCAAAGTCAGGATATACACAGGTTACAATAGCTTATTAGTCAATGTCGCCAGCAACCGACAAAAATTTCGCCGCAATCGAGCAACGAAGACTTCGCCGAAAGATCCAGGAATCACGCATCACAAGAACCTCTTACAACACGAGTTGGCCCCTTCTCGGGGTTCCGGCGACGATGTATATTAAGAGCGCGGAGGAGCTCAACGGCACTCAAGCATGAGACGCATTCAGAAAAGCAGGTACGTTTGCACCGGCGCGCTGCTGGAAACATCGAACTACACTTCCGGGACACCGACACACAGACACAGACAGAGGAATGCGCAACATCTTGAAACATCGTCTATCGGAGTTGTGATTTGTGTGCCTGGCGACTTTTCCTCCCAGTCCTTGAACATGGCATCTACTTCCTTCTGGCTGTAGATTTTGTCATCCTGGAGGTCACAATGAAAGCAGGAACTCGAGTAGCAATCGCAATCAACTCTTGTTCAGTTTCGCATGTGCAGGGAGTTCTTTCGCCGAGCAGTCGTCTACACTCGCACAGGCTTCGGGTAAGGAATGGTGGGCACTTGGCCACGTACCTAAGCGGCCCTTAGCAAGGACATGCAAACCAACACCTTTTTCAACAGTCTCCTGCTCATCGAGGCTGATGCCGAGGACAGCCTCTGCTCTGCGTCGCAGCTTGTGCTCGTTCCATCGATCTTCCATCGCCTGTCGAACAAGCCGCCGAAGCTGCAAGGAGGATGTGACGGTGTGCGCAAAGTCGAGGTGCAAAGATCGGTCCAACAAGTCTACCCAGCAACCCTGCCCCACTCGCCCATTGGCCCCCCTTTCAACCCCTCAGCTGCCATCAACATTTATGCCGCACATGCCCCTGCTCAGAAGGGGCAATGAATAGGAAGTAAATGCCCGAAGCCAAGCTATGACCCCAAAACATTGCCTTGCAGTTTTGTCGAGTCTAAACGTCGTCACATCATCACCATGACACGACCCGTCAAGCGAGCGCATTGACTGTGGCCTTTTCGCACCTTTCGGCATGTTTCTTTGCAACCTTCGGGCATGTTGGAGGACAGTGGAATGAAGGAATCTGCGACAAAACTCCGTGCCTCCGCCGCAGACCACTTTGACTCCATGGAGCCAATTTTCGCAGAGAGGCGTCTGCGCTCGCGCTCAGCCTTTCAGGAAGGCAGTGGAACCGAGGAACGACCCACCACGAACCGTCTCGCAAACCGAACCGCCCAAATTGCGATTTCGACCAGGCTTGCTTCGTGAGGTGAAACTTTCATCCATGCGAGCCGTCCTCTACGAGTGTGGAAGCAGCATCTGCCTCGAGACCTTGAGAATGCGCCGAAAGGCAAGGCTGCGGCCACAACAGTCCGCGACAACCACCAACGACCTGAATCGCGCGGTCCGTTCGCCTGCAATGCATTCATCCCCTCCTGCGTCATCCTGTCGAATTGCGTGCTAAAGGTCTCGCTGTCGTCTCGAAAGGACTTCTTGGCATCTTCCAGCAACCATCTATGACGACTGTCGCAACAGCAAGGGCAAGAAAAGCACGCGAGCACAGGCACAACCTGCAAACAACACCAAACTGCGCTTCGCGATTGGCTGCACCCTTTTGGTTGCTCCCTGTCGGATTCTGCAGTCACGACGTGAAGTGTGGAGCAGACGACTAAGCTCTGTTTCCTTAGACCCGGCTTTGCTAAGGAGGATACTGTAGACTGAAGAAAACCATTACCTCGAAGTTCGGCCTCCAGAAGGAAGACGTGATACAGCGACAAGAGCACAGAGAGCCTGCAGGAGACCATTCTTAGTCGTGACTTCTTGCTTCTTTGGTTTGACAGGGCCCTTTGCCACCAACCCTTCGGTCTTCGGCGTCGCTTCTACTGAGTTAAGTTGCCGTGCCTTAGTACATCCTCCACTTGAATGATGGTCTCACCGCTGGTAAGAGTCGGTAAGAGGCGTGGGTGCTCAACCGATTTGATAAGACGTGTCCGACGAACGCAACTGACGTTATGAAACCAACCTGGGCAGTCAATACCGGCGTTTCTCTACCATCGTCACAGAAACACCTCATGAGAGCTGAATGCATGTTGGCTCGGCTCGAGAAGCAAAGGGTACTCCAAGGGTCGTCCTTCCTATCCGAACCCCTGCTTCCATGAAACCGACTCATAAGAGGCAAACTTGAAGATGGGATGCGGGTCAGTCGAGCCGGTCTCGCAGCATGAGACCGGAATAAAGGCACAGGAAATGCAGGTTTCAGGCATCGAAACGAATGATAGGAACTAAAGACACAAGCCAGTCAGCGAAGCCACAGCCAACGCCAAGAACATCAACAGAACACTGAACGTACAACCCGGGAGAACAACGCCTTCTACGAAACTGGAATCATGTTGAATTGAAATGTTTCTTGCCTCCTGACACGCCGAGTTGCTGTTCAAGCCATTGTCTAAGATCTTGGCAAACATCTTCCGCCATCTCTTCAGTGTACTCTTGCAGCAACCTGGCCCGACATGCGTCGATGTGCAACATGTACTCTTCACGTGCAGCTTTCAAGCCCTGAGGAATCAACCTAGGGTCTAGGGCGCAGTACGACGAATATGCCCTATGTCGCTGCCTTTCGCCTTTGCTTTCGTAACGATTCCTCCACGACGAAGACATCGGACCGAGACTGGGCTAGCGCAGCTCAAGCCACATGGGCCGATTCAACCGCTCCGGGTCTTGCAAGGCTTTCACGGCGCAGGTGATTCGCTTGAGGGCAAACTCCGCCAAGTCCAAATGCTCATGGATGGTGTTGCTCTGAATCCTAAGGCAATCCAGCATTCAATGTTTGACAACAAGCCTCACAACAAGTCGCTGAATGAACCGCCAAGGATCAGCTTCCGATCACCTACCTTGGCTCGAACAAAGGGCCGGGCCTGCGGTCGCTTCAGGGGTTCGGTGACGCACACAGTTTGCCAGGTTGCGTAAGGCGCCATCGGCGCGGCTGGCTCACTTTCCGCTTGACCCAGGAGCTGACGCAGGTGTGACAACACCTGACGCTGCCAGGTTTCGTTGTCAGCCTTGCTGGCCATATCAGGACTGCAGAAACCTCGGTCAGAAGATTCCAAATGGCATGCAGCATTTTCTCACCATAAAAGCCAAGGGGCCAGAGCTTAACCCGAGCTTCTTGCAAGTTGTGTCCTGGAAAAGAGCGAGACAAAGGTGGCTCTGAAGCGTGTTAACACGTGTTAACCTGTCCCGCGCTCCTGAAAGCTGAGCCACACCTCTGCCCATGTGTTGGGCTTCCTTGGCTGCAAGCTGGCCTAGCCGTGTCTGTAACTGCCAGGAAACCGAGAGCTGAGGGGAGCTTCACCTGAAGACTGGACATTTCTGACTCGGAAAATCCGGCATTTATCTTGCCAGCTGACTCGTGGGGTGCCAGGCCCAGCAATCCCAGAGCGAGGCGGCAAACAGCAGCGGAAGCCAAGGGGGGTTTGGTCCTAGGTTGTCACACTTACCGCGCATGCGCACGCGCACACGCACGCAAGCAAACAAGGACACACTGTTTCTCCGGCTGTGGGCGACTGGCCGGGTGTGTCACCTGACAAGTCCTGCACAGAACCCCTCCAATGCAGCTGCAGGGTCTTTGCTGGCTTTTTCTGGTCAGTCTGTTCCTGTGGTTCCTGTCGACGGAGAGATTCGCCTGCTCAAGACGGAATCCGACAACGGCAAACATGCACAGCCTGGCTAGCCCAGTTCAACCACACCTGTCCGACACGACTTGCCGGTTTACCCTTCATCCCACCAGACGACGTCAGGACAGGTGTACCCTACGAGTCCACGACAAGAAGTCCATGGCCTTGGGTCAGGTCTGCCTGAACCCCCTGCGAGCATTTCACTCGCTGCGCAGGATCGACGCCCAACTCGACGAGCTCACCCTTCCTGCCACCGACTGTTCTGCACAGTCTGCACATCCCATCATCTGCTTGAAGTTTGAAGGGGGCGTGCCCCGTCGACACTCTTCACTGACTACTTCCAGAAGAGGTTAGGCTGGCATTTAAACTGCACAGCAAATCGCAGCGGAAGGCACGGCGTGATGTCGCACAGCAACGGCACGTGGATGTCGGCCACAGCAGCACGCTTTTGGCCGGCAAAGTTGCCTGCTGGACGCATCGCGCTTAGCCTCTAACGGCCTTGCGATGCCTTGCAAGAGTGCCGTTTAGTGTGGGGGGTTGGACCTGCTCGGCCATGATCAACTTCTGATAGTGTTTTGTTTGAGTCTTCGGGGCGATGTTCTTAAAACACACATGGGGAGCTGCAGCCTAAAACTGCGGCGGACGAAGCAGTCCAAGCCATGCTTAGGTTCGATGATCACAAGCTGAACATCCTTGGCGCAGTCCGCCACGAGCCCCAGGCAACCAAGCCAAATCAAGTCACGCTATGCTTCTGCAGCTTCCCCACACAAAGCGTCCCAATCTGTCTCAATCTCAGCAAGCTCAGCAATCACGGCGGGGACGGCCTGCTTTTCGTCCATGAGATTAAGCTCCTCAGGCGGCAGCTATCAGGTTTTTTTCCGCTCGAGACACTGTATTCTTACATGGCTTACTTTCGGCGCGCCTGTGTCTGCACTGCCTGCCCCGAGCTGAGCAGGAGGGCGTCCTCCAGTTTCATGACATTGCGCGCCTGCTCCATGCTGTTGCAGGGCTTTGGGGATTTGCTCCGCCACCGAAACTGAGATCAATCACCACATTACATGATCTAGCCTGCGGCTCGCCCTTGCTGTTCAGCATGAGCGTGAATGTCACCTCGTCACCTCGGAATCATGTACGTCCATCACTTGTTGTGATGTGTCGAGAAAATCGAGATCTTGAAGGCAAGCTCTTGGTCATTGCTGGACTGCTGCTACGAAACGTGCAGCAAGACATGCACAATACTCTACCGCAACAAGCTCGTCATTTCCTGACTTGCCAAGGGCCTGACCAATCTGTAAACCCTCCATTTGGTTGCGATGGATATAGACGTCCTTGGCTTTGCTAGCTTTGCTAGTGCAGCAGGAGGCCTACAACTGTCTGATGATTCGAGGTCATGCAGATACAAACCTGTTATTGCTCCACGTGCGGCTGGGACACTCGTGTAAAGCGAAGTTTCGTCTCCTCACAGTCGATGAAGCCGTAGCCAAAGCCGCCGGGGACATCCATAAACCTGCGTTCCGGAGAATGAGTTAGTTAGGCCTGTACGAATTGACGCATTTCAGGTACCGCACCTTTTGACCCTGCCAACCAGCCGCTCTTCGCGGGGCCGCAGCGGCACTCCTAGCTACGCAATCCAGAGGCAAAACCCTTATGCTCTTCCTTGCTACGTACAGCAAGCATAGCTCGCTGTCCTGCGAAGGCCAGGGCGGCACTGTTCGCCAGGGCGGCACTGTTCGCGACCTACGAGTAGGTAACATTTCGTCTCCACAGACCACCAACTCAGCGACGAGAAGCAGCAAAAGTCGTAGCTTTTCATTCTCTGAACGGCGCCTGCAGTCTTAGACTGGGCGGTTGCAAACCGGGGGTCAGTTGGGAACTGGCCTTTGTCGCTGTGAACAGCTGCGAGTGGGCATGCGGCACTCTTGTAGCTTCAGCTCTCGAACCGTCCAGCTTGACAGAGATGTTGAAGCTTTTGGCTGGATGGCAGGCAGTGCTTTTATGGCCAGATCCCTCAACGGCCGAGTCCTCCTCAGGCCTATAGCGAGGCGATCCCAGCCAAAGTGGCAGAGCATCTACTGGGAGTTTGCCATTTGATGCTGTAAAACAGGCGGGCCGGTCAGCTGCCTTTCTTCGCCCTCTGAAAGACTCGCTCAGGAGTCTCAGCTGGCGGTCACCTACAGGTGAAGCAACTCGAACGGTAGCCCTATGGCTCGCTGCTCTTGCTATTTCCCTCAGAAACGTCTTGTCCGTCTCTTGCGGAGGTCTAGAGGCAGAAACGTGAACACATCCTGTGCAGACTGTAGCCACTGCCCTCCAGCAGGGAGGTGAGGTACGTGGACTCACTTGGGACACGGAGGACAACTGCAGCGATGTTCAGCATCCTCCTGCGCATCAGATGGCCGATAATGAAGTCTTAATTTGAGGGTGGGATGCAAGAACTCATACTAAGCCAAATCAGATGAATAGATACCGGTGCCGTTCAACAGGCAGCCGGAATCACTTTAACTTACAGCTCTAGTACCCGCGATTCAGGCAGAGCCCTCCTTGTAGATGGTCTGGCCACAGTCCGTTATCTCTGGTAATGCGCTGGGAATCTCCTGGCAGAGCGAGATACGAACAGCTTGCTGATGCAGGTGAAGAGGTGCCTTCTTCCAAGACTGTGCAAGGAAGTCAGGATCATCATGGCCTTGGTGCCGAGCATGAGGAGCTGATTCTGCGGGCCTCTCTTGCTTGCCTCTTTTGCGATGGCTTAAGTCCCCAGCGGCCACTGTTTGCGCATGCGGCAAATAGGTCACAAAGAGAGCCGCCCATTGAATGTCCGGTGCAGGCCACGTGACTGAGGCAGGTTGGGCAAATTGTAGCAGAAATGATCACAGGCGCGCGTTGAAAATCGGGCACTCTTGTCTCACCAGTATGTTCTCTTTTTTTTGGAACTTACTCCATGCCAGCGCCCCTCCAGCCTGCACTTTCCAATCTTCGGCCGGATGAGGGGCCACAGCTCCTCGATGATCCTTCTCGGTGCAATGCGGTCTAGGCAGGAAGCTCTTCAGGCGTGGTCCCAACTGACAGGACAAGAAGCTGGTCTCTTACCTACACCAAATGCGCTAGCTTTGGGCAGAGTTGATGCCTATACGCCCTGCATCGTCCCACGATTGCTCGTGGCGATGCGATGGATCGCACCCCTCCAAAGTCTACAAAGCTTCAGCCTTAAGCTATGGCCATGACGCGAAAGACTTCTGTGGTTGGGTTTCGGACCCCGTCAGGCAGCAGAGTGACGGGGCGGCTCACCAAGAAAATAACATGAAAATGCCCGTATCAAGTTTCAAAACGCAAGCCGGTTTGTTGTTCGGGCGAAAGCCTCGACACGGCCTGCAATTGCCATAGAAGCCTACGAAGCCAAAGCACGTGCCAGCAAAAGGAAGTGCTGCGATCTGAAATTGACGCTCAAGATCTATTGCTGATTGCACCGCAGGCCAGCGCTCTTTAAACAGCTCTCGATATAGTTGCAGTTCCAACGTCACTCTGGGTCAATAGTAAATTCGTTTGGCGACGAACGAAAGAGGCCTGCGCAGCTCGTCACGGTATCCTGTGTGGACGGTTTTGAAGCCGCAGAATGGAGCTGTTCGGACATCTGTGGCGGTTGCCAGCTCGTTTCCTCGGGTATCACATGCGATGAGTTGCACTCGCGCTGGTACAATGGGGTGCCCATAGTTTCGGGGTTCTTGTTTCGGATCTGGAACCTGAGACCGAAAATCACCATGTCCTGGTCCGAAACAGTCCCGTTCCGAAACTCTGCCCTGAAACTGAGACTCAGCACCGAAACTACCCTCGAAAACTCTTTTTCACAAGGGACTTGACGGCTGCCCTTACTGCCCAGCTCGACCCACAACACAGTACTTACTCATGAAAAGCCTGAAACTCACAACTTCCTGGTGCAACAGCCAGCCAGCCGCCATGTGCCAATGCTGCGCGGTAGCTAGCAGCAATCTCCAGACGACAGATCATGTTCATGTCGAGAAGCCGTAGTTGTTGACGCCCGCAAATGCCAGCACACACTCGAAGGTCTCCGAACTCTGCACCAGCATCATCGGGTCCTGCTGCTGCTGCCGGTACAAACTAAGACTCTCCAACACCCCACTCCACCCCTGGCCTGCTTGTAGAATTTGGCTGGGCATCCATCGTCAAGCCTACCGCCATGCGCAGCCCCGCCTCGTCGTACATAGAGGCTGCTCCAGTGACCAGCGTCAGTCTTGAAACGATGTTCCAATGACTTCCCAGCCTGCGGCAAAAGCATATTGCAACATGCATCTGAGCTCAGCAACCCAAGTCCTGAACCATAGTCAGTCAACCTCAGCCCTCAAGCCGCACTGTACTCCGAACAGCTACTCCGTCCCAATAACGATGTAGCTTGAGACGATTGAAAGTCTCTCTGAGCAGGGTCTCGAGAACCACAAACGATGATGTAAACGAAGCTCTTGTTCATTCAACTGACTGTTGGCAGCAACATCCGCAAGATCTTGCCCCTCGTGAAGGAAGCCGGGGCCAGCAGCATTGAGGCAAATGAAAACATGCGCAGGTGTAAGTCCCTGGATGGGGAATCGGACTAAACAGCTACCCGAGAGTTCTGCCCTCGGGAACTGCCTGCAGGTTACTGATATAGACAATGGCTAATCTCATTCTCAACAGCCTTTCTTTGATGTGCTTCTTGGCGTGTTCAGTGCTGTCGTACTGCTTGTAGGCCTCAGCGGGATCATGCCCGATGCATCGCTTCCCGTGGTTTCATTGGCCGTGCTCTAAACAGCTCCCACGCACCAAGCTCCTTTGAAGAGGCCCAAGTCTTGCAGGACAGCCTGTCTTCACCCCACTGTTTTCTGACAAAGATGCGATTCGATTGTACAGATACGCGGTCCGGAAAGGCTCCTGGCATTACATAGGTGAACCCTGGCGAGGTGGGCACCCTCGAGTCTGGCAAACCGTTGCAACACTGCGGAAGTCCTGGTCCGAGACATCCATGCCCAGCAAGGAGACATTTCCCAAGCGAGGTTTGTATTTCGGCTCCCAATGCAAAAGCCAGTCCTTGCAGCGACAGCCAGATGGAATGTCAGCAGGAATTAGTGACAGCACACCAACCGTCCCTTTCCTTGCCACAACTAGTCAGCTGGTAGAGGCGTCTAGAGCGTTCGTGACCGGAAAGGGTCGTTCATGCTTGCTTGGGCTTGGCACTGATTACACTCCAGGTTCTGATGCTTGAGCCTGACAGCACCAGGACAGTCCCCACCACCAATCACCTGGAGGCATTCTTACGAGGAAATTGTGCCCACAGAACCAGCCAAGCTGTGTAGTCCAAACGCACCATCCCTCGCACAAACCCGACCACACAAGACCTCGTACCAGTAACAATACCGATTTCAGAAGCTCTGAAGTGATCTTTAGAAAATTTGGATTGGCATCATGTGAATCATGTGTAGGATGGTTAGTGGGGAACTTCCTCTAACAGGCCTGGCTCGAATCACAGGCAAGTCAAGGGATGCAGAGACCCTGAAGACTGGAGGCCAAGGCACTGCAAACTGGTTGCCCTGGGAGAAAGGCTGATGCACTTCTCCAGGGCACTGGGCAAAGTGAGAGCTTTTCGACCTCAAACTGCAAGCTGGAGCTGGCCAGCGGTCTCAGGCTCAAGCGCCGAGACACACATCATGAAGGCGCAGTGTGGCTACCTGGGTCAGATCGTGCCAGGCTTCAATTCAAGGCTAGCCAGCAGCACTTCGTCATGGGACAGCAGCTGCAAAAGGCGGCGTCGGCAGATGCACAATCCTTTACAGGCTGTCCTTCGTGCATGTGTGCAACGCGTACCAGATGAAACAGATTCGGAGAGATGCAGCTGTCAGCTATGTGTACCAGACAAAACCCCGTGATAGACTGTGAACTCATCCACGTCGCCTTGGCATGGTCCAACTGATCAGAGATGGCAGCAGCATCCTCCTCCTTTGTAGCTGGTGTCAGCACGTCCTGCCAGCAGCTCATGCTCGAATTTCACCGATTGCTGCTCACTGACTTTGGCTGGCATAGGGAACATGTATCAACAACAGGCGCAGCGCATGGAACTGCCTTGGCCCTATTCTAGGCTAATTCAAGGAATTGAACTATCACGTTGGAGGCATTGAAAGGAGACGGAGAGTGGCGGGGCAAATAAAGGGGTCGTGTGGAGCATTGTGGAGCCTACCCACACTTGTCCGAGAGCTCCCAGCATTCCAGGATGAATCCAACAAACTGAGAAAAACAGCCCTGCAGTCAGCCTAACAAGGAGCCGACAAAACACCCAGAAAAAAGTCAACACAAAGACAGAAAGGAAGTCTGAACAAGTCATAAACAACGGGAGACACAAGCAACGAAAGTGTCAGCAAGCAAATCAGTTCGCGGCCAGTACACTTAAGGCGTGTCCTCCGTCCATGTTCGCAGGCCAGCAAAGCAGCCGTCCTCGCAAGCTCTGCCGGGACATGCTGACCCAATGAACAACGGCAGAACAGTCCTTGTGACTGAGATCTGGCAAAGCTGGCTCTGCAGTTCCAGGTGCACCATATGTGTAGATTCCGGCATCCACCTGGTACTGCGAAGGAGAGAAGCAAAATCGGCGAATCAAGCGAGTTTAGGCATCGCGTCAGGTCTGCGTGGACGACTTCCCGAGCAGCCAGGTCCCCAGGCAAAAGCACTGCACACGTCCCACGTATCCATGCGATTCTGAAACGGACTCGGCTCTGCAACCCATAGTGCCGCCGATTCGCCGTCCCGAAGAGTGTCTCTTGGAGGCCGGTGAACTGAGGTGCTGCTCGAAGGCTGTAGCCGGAAGCCTGCTTGAAATCAAGGCATGCCATCGCTTGCCGATGTGCCGCTGGGCGTTGTTCCGCTTGCTAACGTCCAGGAATGGCGTGTCATTCTTTTCTACTTCGGGTGCATCGTGGCAAGGCATTGTTCGGTCCGAATTCCAAACCGCCCAGGCCTGTCTGGAGCGTGGCACCACTAGAACAACCAGGCCCATTACGCAAACGCCAGCAATGGCAAAGGCCTGAGTTTGCCAGATGCTTCAACGGATCTCGACTGGTGAGGCATAGGCAACTCTTCGCATGCAACTTCCTGACTACCTCCGATGCCGGCTACATGCCTGGAAACTGACAGCGCGTGATTGCAGTAACTGGCTAAGGACATGCCATGTTCTGCACCCTTCCGTGTAACAGGCTCGCATAGTCAGAACTCAGCTACACGCGACGTGAATATTCGCTGGCCAATGATCGAACATGCGATAATTTGAGGTGATTACTTAATTACTTAATTAGCTATGGTTTTAGGCATAAACTAAATGCAGGGTCTGGCATGTAGATATTCGTGACATATCAATTTCCTGCTCATTTCTTATTCAGTACCTACAATTGTCAAACATGAAGACAACATTTACAATACCTGTGGTTGTGCTTCTGTTCGTATTCGTCGCAGGTTCCATGTCTGTTCAGCTGATTCACATTGATTTACATGCAGCTCAAACAATAAAATATATTGTAAACGTTTCGGGTGGTCCGCCTCTCGGCCCGTTCGCAGGTGAAGAGTAGTGTCCACATCAGAAACCACGGTGGGATCACGGGAGACGTGACGAGGAAGACAAAGAGGCTCCCGGTCCCGGGGAATCAAAGAAACCTCTGACCACTTCGGCGTGACGAGGCGAGTTTTTCATCAACATTTCATTCAGCATGGTCAGTATCAGTATTGTTTTACTATCTAACTACGTAACGTTTTGTTGATACTTGTCTAATGTATAGCGGACCTTCAGCTAATGGGACCTTCAGTTAATGTGCCACGATTACGCAACAATCAGTTGATGCTCAGAGACATGTTATCACACTTATCTGTGTTGTGTTTCATGTATACTGGGTAGTTCATGCATACAGGGCAGGTGTTTGACCACGCAGTGTTTCAGTATATCGACAATTGCGTCGGATGTAGGGCCTTTTGTTTTCGGATTCTCTTGGGAATCAACGGTTTTTTGGCATCTCCGTGAAAATATGGGAGCTCGGGTTCTCAATTTTTTGCAGAAGGTGTGGCAACTAGTAGGGGGAGCACTGCTTCCGGAATGCTCTTGTAGTGTCAGTTATGTAGAAACAATTGAGACAGAGAGCTCCCCATGGCCTGCTTGGGTTAAGGGTCTCTCGGCGTGTTTCTCACCCCCTTCCCCTGTACAAAGGTGTCTGTGGTGTTTGCGGTGCTTTGGGGCAAATAGGAACACCGACTCTCCCTCCAAGCTTTACGGCCTATCCTTTCACCATGCTCGAAGAAGAACATGCCTCCGTCGACCGTGACGATGTCGCAATCCCAACGACGGCGCACAGGCATTGTTGCAGCTATCTGGCAGTAGCATTGTCATCCTCATTGCGATTGTGACTATACAACGAGGTACCTTCATCCCTTGAGAATGGTGCCCCTGGTTTTGCTTTCCCTGTGGTGCAGCTCTCCCCAGTGCAGAAGCACTGGTCCCTCCCTGCGGTTTGGGTGGTGGGTTCTGTTCCGGCGCGAACTGTGTCCGCAACCTGCCCCTGCAAAAACAAACACGATCATGCAGATCACGACCACATGCCAGCTACTGTAGAAAGGTGACACCAACAGGTCCAATTCCAGTGTCACATCGCGGTGACGATCCCATGCTCTGAAAACGACGACGCTCGATCCCTGTGACTGACGCAGGCAGCCTTGGTAAGAGAGGGAGGGGATACCATCGGGAGGGGGGGGGTGTAGTAGCCTAGGGCCCGAGATCGTCTAGCAGCCGGAGAGGGTCAGATGTTGGGGACTATATATAGACTCACGAAGCACAGAAGAATTGGGTGTGTCATGACCGGGCGACCCCAAATATGGTAACGTACTGTAATACTTGCAAACAAAAGCAGAAATATATACATAATTATATAAATGTGTGTGTGTGTATGTGTGTATGTATATGTATGCGCACACACACACACACACACGGGATCGTGTGTCAGCTGACCGGGCCAAGTGTCACTGCGCTGCAAAAGTGAAGTCGACCTGCTTCTGTGACAAGGCACATGCAATCATGGCAGGTGAAATGCCGGAAATGCAGAAAACCATTCGTGCGAATGTCTCATCGACCGTGCAGCGGGCTTTCCAAGCACTCTTCGGACCACCGCAGGGTCGAAGTGCGCAAATCTCGCAAGCCCGGCCGGGCAAAAAGGTTCTGTCCAGAAAGCCCGAAAAGGTGTTTGGTGAAAGTGTGCCCTGTGTTATCACTGCAGTTCATGTGCGATCTAAGGTGTCGGGTTGCTCTGAAAGCAGGGTACCATCTGCAGAGGTGACATGTCGAGGGGGACAGGTTGAATGACGATGCTATCAACAGCACTGGCCTGGCTGGCTCGTCGTCTGGGGAGTCCGCTAGAATGTCGTCCTCGGACTCTTCTGTAGAGTCATCCTGCGATGGCAGCTCTGCCGAACGGGTGCGATCCTCCACCAAAACTCGCAACGAAAACCTGCCGACCGCTCATCATTTGACACCTGCGGTCTTCTATCGCACATGGGTGGCCTTTGTCAGACCAGCTTCCAACGACATAATGGCAAGCCGCGATGCAAAAGGCAAAACTGGTGTTGACGGTTTCTGACGAAATGCAGCCAGCCACACATCAAGAACTCTAGAAAACTCTGGTTGAGTCTGGGACAATAAAACCAACACCTAGACGCCTTACACTCACGCGGTTGCTCACTTGAGCCACATACCTGCGAGCAGACGCGCGATCGCGAGCAGCTTGACAAACTGTATATAGCCGTTCTTTCGCGAGACATAGGTGCGAGATCTGGCATGAAACCGGCAATGGCCAAGCCCCTGACATGTGCTGGCCATCCTGGCCTGCGGCAGCGCAACGAAATCCGCACATTCAGTGCAGACGCCATCAGCAGCTTCTGTGCGTCGAGCGGCACCAAGCTGTCACATCCGTTTTTGCCCAAATTCTCTCTGAGGCAGCTGCAGCGGAGGAGGGGGCAACACGCTCGGCAGAACCTTGGAAACATGCAGGTGTCATGTGTTCTACTGCATTCATAGAGCTTTCACAGCATGGACGCCAGGCTTTCCTAGAAGATTCAGCGTTGCAGCTGAAGCCTGAAGTCTAGGCTACGAGAGCTTGAAACAGCTGCTGCTGATTTGCGCCGTCGACATTCGATGCACCGGTCGCCGCACCTCTCAAGGTGAGAAGACAAGTCAAACCTTTGCTTCGCACAAAACCTTTCCCGCCTTGCGGGCAGGCAGCCGGACTCTGAGGTGCCGCAGCACCAGTCTCAAGAGCGGCTTCCTGAAACAATTGCGGTATGGCTCCCCAAAAGTCTGACCCTTGGCACGTTGAAGCGGGCTGGCGACGCCAGGTCAGAAAGTGATGGCGACCGCGAGCGCGAGCGGCTGCGACTTCTCGCTTCCTTCTCTCTTCGAGTTGTGACTCTCAGCAGCAGTGTACATTCCATCAGGCATGCGACTGGCATCTAGCTCCTGTCAAAATCAAAATCCACAAGTCCCGCTCCTCTTCGACGCTTTGCCGCTGGGCCGTTCGTGGTGCCTGGACCGTTGAGTTGCTTAAGAACGCGCCCATGTTCCACGAGATAGATAACAATTCAGCAGAGCCAAGTGCTCTTTGCGGAATTCATAGTTGTGGTTTCCTCCCCTGTCACATGTATCTTCATGATGATCACATGGCTTCAGACAGCTTACGAACAGGTGGCATGCTCGACCAAATTTCATTTTCACCGGGAGCTTCGCACTGCCGGCAAGTATGGATCACAGCCAGTGAAAGCAGGGCGGGAGCACGTAGACAGCATGTTGTGATGAAGTTGCAGATCGAGAATGCAGCTCATGCTCTTCCAACTTTCAGATGCTTTCAGCCTAAACCTATGCCTCCTGCCACGCAGCGATGCCCAACCTGAGTCTGGGCCTCCTCCTCTTCCTCCTCGTCCTAAGAAGGAAACTTTCTGACTAGAATCCCACCCATCACCATCAGTCACTCTGACCGACAACCGATTGCATTCTGCTGGGGAAGTCTTGGCATGAGAGATGAGTGCCGACGCTCCTCACGCTGGCGCCACTCGTCGAGCTCCTGGCGAGCAGTTCGTCCGCTGACGAGTCAAAATGTCTCATGCAGTCTTTGGCTCTCGGGCCGCTACGCAAAATTGCAGCCGAAGAGAGACCCTCAGAGCCGCAACCTGTCTGTACGAGCAACTCCGTTTTCTCAAGCACATTGCGGCACAGCAGCTGCAAACAGCTTTCTAGTGGAGCGCCCCCCCAAACTCCAAGGCTGATTTGACTTCTCAAAACAGCAGTCCTTTCACCAGTGATTAGTATATCCTGTGGCCTCACCGGGCTGCGCCTCCTCCTGTGCGCCCTTCTCTTGCGAATCTGTCTCATAACTCTCATAGGACGTGGACTCGGGATACTTGTTGTCCCAAGACTTGCTATCATCCCAAGCGGAATCACCATACTTCCCTCCCCACGTACCATCGAGTGTGCTGCTCCCGCCATAGCCTGCGTTTCCTTCTGCTATGTCCGTGAGGTCTTTCGGGACCTCTTGGCCGGTCTTCTTGAAGACTTTGATGATCTGGCTCGCAAGGTGCCAATCTGAGGCAAACAAGCACGTGTAAGAATCTCCTTTCTCACCTGCGCGTCCTGTACGACCGATCCGATGCACATAGTCCTGAATGTTGGCCGGAGCATCATAGTTGACGACGATCTGCACATTTCGTATGTCGAGGCCACGCTGCGCTACATCGGTAGCGACGAGGACCCGCGCCTTGCCCTCTTTGAAATGCTTCAACGACCAGTCTCTCTGTGTCTGGTCCATGTCTCCGTGCAAGCAAACGATTGGTGCTCCATTCTTCCCCAGCGTGTCATAAAGCCACGCTGCAGTCTTCTTAGTCTTCGTGAATATCAGTCCGGAGCCCTCTTTCTCCTGCAACATTTTGAAGAATTTCTCCTCCAGGAAGGTGATTTTGTCCTGTTCGGAGTGGACGGTGACTATATGTTGGCGGATGTCAGCATTCGCCGTTTGAGCATCAGTTGTTCCCACTTGTATGTGAACTGGATCTTTCGTCAAAGACCACGCTAGGTCCTGTACCTCTGAAGGCCAGGTCGCTGTGAACAAAGCTGTTTGGCGATCAGAGGGGAGCCATTGCGCAGTCTCCTTGATCTGAGGCTCAAAACCCATGTCCAACATTCTGTCGGCTTCATCCAGAACGAGGTAATCGCAAAGCTCCAGGTCCAACATGCCTGCCGGACGGCCGGACATTTTGAAAGCTAGGCGAGTCATTTTGGGAGATTTTGCGTACATGACGATTCAATGGTTCTCGCCGCCTCTCTTCAGAAAATCGTTCAACCGGCCAGGTGTTGCTGCCACACATTGTGGCTTGTATCCTTGGTTCGTCCACAAACATTTGCCGCAAGCTTTCTGCAGGACGGATTGTCTCGAACGCGCTGTACTAAGCTCATGGCGTAGCGCTTGTAGTTGAGGTTGCTGTGGAGCCCCGCCATAGACGCATGCTGTCACGACATCTGCCGGCTTTCCGAACTTTTCTGACCTTCGCTTGTTGGACCATGGGCAATCGAGTGGGGGCTCTGCAGAGGAACAATTGGTGATAGTTTTTTTTTCCCTCTCGCATGGCTGAGGATCTATGCCCACGAGCGAGGTTGGAACAGAGCACTCGTGAAGTGAGGACTGTGCTAGATTCAGGCTAATCAGATCCAGACTGTACCAAGCCCTACTGAAAGATACCCAGAGTCCAGACCGATTATCAGCCCAAATCGTCAAGGTGTTGTCATTCCCCGGCTCCCCTAACTTGCCGACAATACACCCATAGAGCAGAGCCGTCGAGGATGACACAACCACACCACTACAAAGATAGTTGGCGCTAAAGGTTTGTTAATGTTCAGATCGTGATTTGTTGATGGACTTGTTGCGGAGAGCCGGCAGACACTGACCAAAAGTTCAGTCGACTCCGCCTGACTTGCTCCGTCATTCGGCGGCCCGGAAAGAAACAAGCCTATAAAGAGTCCGTGAGCGAATGCATTCATTCGCTTATGTGTGCATGCGCAGGTCTGTAGGCGTGCAGACGTGACTTTGCGCATGTACCTTTCCATGGTCCATTGTTGCATACGTGTAAGCGCAAAATACTTGGGATCGGCATTCATCTATCTGTGCTTGTGTACGCACATGTGGCTTGCTTGGGAAACGTTGCCAAACTATGGGAAGTGGATTTTGCTCAATAGGGAGGGAATCCATGGAATCTTGCTCGGTGGAATGGAAGAAGCACAGGAGAGCCTTTATCTTCAGCTGAAAATCTATCACTGCAAGCCGGTGTCTGTCTGAGTGCCGGACTCTTCATAGATTTGCTGGCAAAGCTCTCGGGTGGGGGCCAAAACCAACATGCCAGGGCCTCGGTCATAGCTCCTCTCTTGAGCCTCATGCCGTTTGACTTTGATGTAGCCAGGGAGAAGGTAGCCCAAGGTTTTGCCAGATCCGGTTTTGGCCACGCCGATGCAGTCAGCGCCCTTGCACAGCACTGGCCAGGCGTAGGTCTGGATTGGGGTTGGACATCGGAAGCCCTGCTCTTGAAGATACCTTAGACTTAGACTTGCCTGCTCATGCCACAACTACACACAACCCAAAGCAAGAGCTGGCACACTAGGCCGCGGCACGACATGAGACCAGCGGGGAACTTCCACGGACCAGTGCAGTCGTCGAAGGATTTCCATGTCTCGGATAGTTCACCATGCAATACGCGAACCTGGCAAAGAACGCAGATTCTTACTGACTGCCCTATGACTGCCCCCCAATTGTGCGGGCAGATTATTTATATGAGACCGAATGCACAGCAGAAGCCTCTTCGTCGTCTTGCCACACTTCGTCACCCCACTCTGCCATGGCTCTGCCACAAAAACTGTTCACCGCGGGACCCACGAGAAAGTGAAGGCGAACGTGAAACTTGGTTCTGCAGCATGTCCTGAACAAAGGCTCCTGCCTTTCCCGAGTGCTGGCCGATACCGCTCGAAGCGCAGTTATAGCAGTATAGGTTTACTACAACGCCTCCTTGAGTAAGCGTCAAACCGACGTGGCGGAGAGCAGAAGTCACAGTTACGGGTTCTGGGATTGGCTACGGTGAGGGGCTCCATGAGGCTCGACAAAACAAAGGCCAAGCGAGAGTACCTCGGCGGTGACGACCTCGTCGTCAGCGTCTTTCCCATCGATCTCTTGCTGCCACCTGTGTACAGCCATCGGCGGTGCAATCAGCAACTCCCTACCAGTACCCGGGCTCAGGCATCTGGAAAAATGGAAAAACGTGTCGTAGAAGCTCTGCCTTCCCCTCTTTAGTCCTTCCTTTATTCTTCACTGCCTCGTTTCATCACGACCTGTGTTTGCCAGATATGGTTGCTCCCTGCATCCTACTGCGAGCCTGTTGGCTGACGCAGGCACGCGCCAGTGCAGACAGCTACCACATAGGCCGGGTGAGGACTGTAAGTATGCCAAAATAATGTACTGCCTCCCCTGACCTGCTTCTGCGCGGTAGCCGTCGCCCTACGCGAACTGGGAAAGGCTATCCTACCAAGCACACCCAATCATCTCATCGCCTGCCTGCGCTTACAGCCGGTCTTGGCGTTCGCAGCCTGACGAGATCTACTCGTCAAGTTTTCACGCGTTCTCACGAGTTAACGGCGACGGACGTCCGATGCGATCCTGGCCCTTGGGAGCTTCGGTAAGACACACTTATAAAAGCCAGCCTCGCGCTTTCGCCCAAGCATTTGCGGCGTCCATCCGAGCCGCCGTGGGCAAACCCTGAAGGCACCCCTGCTTCGATGCCCTATGCAGCTTGCCTCCTTGCACGAAGCGTATGAGCTTTGAGTTGACTTGGGGAAGGCAGTGTGCTCTCTAATGCTATCTACTTTCCCTCTCTGTGCCAAAGCAAGCTGGCCGGCATGAAGAAATCTCGCAGCTCATTTCAGTCATCGGACTGAACCGCCTTCTATTCAACCGTTATGAGAAAGTCAAGTTCCAAGCTTCCGACTTCCAGTATCACTACACGGCTACAATGTTACAAAGACGCCCCAGCAGACCGACATCGAAAAGCTCAAATGAGTTGCTGGCATTGCTGGCATGAGGGGAATGCATGAGGAGAGGAAGTTCGGGCCTACAGCAAGCTCCAAGCCTGCCACGCCGTGGTGTCGCATTGAGCAGGATCACATGCCTGTGCTAAGCCGCTCGGTCCGAAATCTAATTACATGCCAACCGGCGCAAAAACTTGAAGAGTATATAACAGTATATACTTCACAGCTGAGCGAGCCGACTCCTGGTCGTCCTTGGAGCAGATGACGATCTCCTGAGCTTTCCGTGCACGAGTGGTGCAGTAGACTCTTTCTGAAAAATGCATGATCATGCAGGGTATACCCACATCGTTTGGGAGCTTGGTTGCTGCACCGGTCAACTCCATGGGGCCCCTGCGAAATGCTCCGTCTCTTGTCCCTGCAGGGCTGCATCCACAATGTCCTGCATCCTGTGCCTGGACTGGGCGTGTTCGATCCCGAGCTGTCAAAACCAAACATCTTAACAGGTGATGCAGCAAACGCCTGCCTGCGTAAAAAAACAGCTGCTAAGCTGCTATCTCTGGCACGAAAGAAAGCGGAAGCCGAGCAGAGCAGCTAGCCTGTCCGACTCGACGACGAACTCCTGCACAAAAGATCGGCCTTCCACTTCCTGCGTTCAATCAGGTATGAGCGGCACAGCTGTCTGTCGTGCTTTTGCACACGCATCTAGTAGGCTTTGCATTGTTCTTCTCGAGCACACAACTTCACTGCAAGATGCGGCACCGCTGCCATTTTCTGAACCGCCTGTTTTGGACACTGTCACGGTAGAATCTCGGTACCACCGAAGAAGCCACAGTCGGTCAGGCCCTGGGGGCAAGGTGGATTCTGGAAAGCCTGACTTAGTGACACAACCGGATGCCTGACTCCGCGCGACCGACCCTTCAACGGTGCGATTCTTTTTCGCGCGTGGGCCCGTGACCCACGATCTGACTACGGCTGCGTGCTCTGGCTACGACGTTACTTCCTCATGTGAAGTTTCAGTGCTGCTTCTGAGCGCAACGGAAGGTCTTCGGGACACCTAGGATTCAGCAAGCAAGTAGACCTAATTGCTTCCGCAATACTTCGTGCAGAGCAGCAATAAGGCCATGATGTGGCTTGACCACGACATGGCATCGCCGAGCTGGTCCCCTTCGGGGCAGCAGCTTGGGGGGAGTCGATAGCACTGGCATTAGCAACCTGCAGCCCACTGCTCGCATCTTCATGCCGAAGCCAGAGGCGCTTTTTTGCAGTCGCCGACGTCTTACTTCACGATCTTGGGACGTTGCGGCACCTTGGTGCCAAAACAGTTGCTACACTCCTCCACAAAACATAACGGGCCATACCGTTGTCTTTCGGGAGGGGCATAATGAAGCTCACAATAATGAAAAACAAGCGGCCAACTTTGGGTACACGTGGTCTGTGCGGGACTTGGGGTGCTGTATGCCTGGAAGTAGCTCCTGCGAACTGAAGCTATTCGGTTCGTGACCAGAGAGGATATAGCATAGAGCTGACATTACCTCTGTCTTGTCCGAAGCCGGCCCCTCCCATAATTCAAGCAAGACGTCCTAAGTCCTGCTAGATGGCATTCTTTCGCCCAGTCCTCCAGCCGGACCAGCATCTCTTTGTGCCGGCGAGGCGTGTCGAGCTGGGGAGTCCTGAAGACAAGTGTGGGATTGCTTTGGCCAAAACCAGGCAGCTGGGGCTGGCAAGTGCACGGTCCGGTCTGAGTCTGAATTTGGCTAGTCACTAGTGTGACTAGTGTAGTCCAGTGCGAGTCGAGTAGCTCAATCGTTCCCTCACGCTTTCCAGGATGTCGCCACCGAGTCTCCTCCGGCCGCTAGGATCAAACCATGGTGGCAAGGGTCTGTAAAACACCTTGGCAGCAATCGCGAATAGTGACGGTGGCATGCATCGTCACTCCAAGCTCCTGCTTCTGTCGCTCCACTTTGTGCCGCAGCAAGGCCACCTCTTGAGCAGCCTGCCAGTGGATAAGCTGGACAATGTCAAGGGCCGACATGGTTCTGCAAGTTCTAGCTTTCAGTTTCTGGAGTTTCCTCCGACTTGCTACGCTTTGCGGCAGCTACAGCCGCCTGCGCCAGCCGTGTGCTGTGCACCTCTTTGAGCTCCTCGTGCCTAGGATGCCAAAACCGAGCACGGACTCTGAAGCTGGAAAACTGGCCTCGGGCTGTGGGCTGGCCAAGTCCAAAAAGCTCGATGAGAACTGTATCAATTCCTGGCTGAACCGTCCCGGTCGCCGGTTCCGCTCTTCCAGCAGTTCCAATCTCAACTCCTGCAACGGGAGTCTCGTGATTGAGGCTATAGTGCAAGCCGGTGGTGCTAAATGCTGGTCGTGCCTGCTGCTGGTCCAACGACTTCTGGAGCGCAGCCTCCAGCTCACCAAGCAGAGGGCTGAGGCATCAAGCGATGTCCTGATGTCCTGGCCTTGTGAAAGACCCGGACAGATCCCAGGCTGCTACCAGAAACACGACTCATTGCAAAGCCTACTGGTAGGGCCTAGGAGTTTGACATGCCAACACCAACTATCCTGCAACAAGCACAGCAACACATTCCGACTGGCCACTGTGAATAAAAGGAAATTTCTGCTTACATCCAGATACTAGTAGCAGATCTAGCGTGGCCTTGCCAACTTCAAGGCTGGCCTCAGCGTCACGGCGCCTGGCAGTAGCTGCACAGATCTGTGCCTGGCAAGCCTGCTCCAGCCAAGCACAGTCCTCCGCAGACAAGCACCATCCATGCAAACATGGAGGAACTGCTGCAGAACACAACCAGAAGACTGCTGGCCTCGCATGAGCTGGTGCTACAGACGTCTCGACTCAAATGCAACATGTGGCCTCGAGGCCTGTACTCCTGATTTGGATCAAGTACGCGCCGACCAGGTGAAAAGATGCTACAATCGAAACAACCGCGCATTCTCAGATAAAGAGATTCCCTTGCAAAGCCCTCCACGCACGCCGACCTTGCATTGAAGATGGTTCGCGTCGCTGCTGCTTTGCTCCTGCAGGATTTGCAAGTGACTCGACCGGACTGCATGCATTTCCAGCTCCAGCCTCAGCAGCACGCAACTTGTGCACTTCATGTCGCAAAGACTGCAGCTGCTTCTTAGCCACCTGCATGCAGGAACAGAAGTTGCAGACCACTGGGCTGACAACTGTAGACGGAGTGGATGGCACAATGTTTCGCCTCAAGCTCACCTCTTCGGTCATGGAGTGATTGCTTTGCCTGACCCAGCTCCTGCAACTGCGAGCAGCGATGGGAAAATAAAGTGATGCTACGGCCGAGACTTTTGTGACGTGGCTCTAACGGTACTCTAACGACTGGAGCAACCCAGATGGCTAGAGCGCTGGACCAAGAAAGAGCTAGGTGTGGAAGAGCACCAGCACAAGATCCCAGTGGATACTTGGGACTCCGAAGATGAGAAGGCTTGGATCCGACAGTTCCGGGTCTCGTTCGCAGAACCTGATTTAGTTGTCAGGGTTGCAAACTGCAGAAGTGCACAAGTGATTCTGACAATTCAGCACAGCACAGTTTCCGTCCACTTGCTGCGGCCTGGAGTAGCAGAAGACAAAGAAGGGTCAGGAACAGAGGGAGGAGGGCGAACGGGAGCAGAGGGGGATGGAAGGAGCTGGTGGTGATGATGATGAAGATGATTTTGCTGCCGATGCGGCTGCTGCTGCTATTGCTGCTGCAGGTGGTGGTCATCGACATCAACAACAACAACAACAACAGCACCGGCATCAATGGGCGCCTCCACGCCGCCGCCACCACCATCGCCCACCATCATCATCACCATCATCACCGGCAGCAGCAGCAGCAGTGTGAAGATGCTCTTTGTCTTCTTCTTTTTTCTCCTGTCCCCCGGATGCTGGAGTGCACCACCCCATGCGACCCCAGCTGTGCATTTCCGCATTTCATTAGCGAGTACGCAAAGGCAGATGCGAGGGCAGAAGGAGCAAAAGGAACAGATGCAACATCCCGGCGCGCCATCTGCGTGGCCATGAAGTCCGCATGGCCACCCACGTGCTCCTTGCACTGAAGGGGCTGGATTTGAGGTAGGGCGCAAGAGCTCTACTCCGAAAGGCCAACTCTCCTCTTCTTTCAGCGCACGCCGCAACTCGAATTGCAGCTTGGCCTGCAAGGACAAGGGCGACTTCGTCTGCCACTTCTTGTCAGCTCCTGTTGGCCTTTCAGCCCTTGATTCCTCGAACAGTGCGAAAAAAGTGCAGGCCTCGGACTCCCGTGTCTCTTTCAACTCCTTCTCTTGTGCGGCCATCCTGGCGGAGGCTGGAGCAGAAAGGCTCGCTACACTGGATGCCTCAACGGCCAACACCTGAGGCTGCAGGTATGGCAAATTATCACTTCTTTCAAACCCACAGTTGCCATGGGCCTGTCAAAATATCTTTAAATCCGAGCTGCTGCACATGCTGCGATTCCATGGATGCAGTGGCGAACGACAGCTTCTGGTTAAGATCTGCCGTGTGCTTTCGGTAGTCCTCCGAGAAGCAGACACTGCAGAGAGTGAAACGAAGCACCCGAGCAACCAAGGCATGAGCTGTTGTTACCAAATTTGGCTACAGCACTTCATTGCTCGACTGAACATATTGCCTCCTCCACACATGTTCTGGCCGTGGCCGGCCGCATGCTTTCCGCATCTTTCCCCAGGTCGATCCCCTCCGTGCCCCTAGATCAGGCTTGACCCTGCCCATCTTGCATGCTATCGCTACCCACGTTCTGCCATCCTACATCTTGCGCTGATCGTCTTGTACTTACCCGTTCATCTCTAATCCCCTGTGGGCCATCAGCAGCGCATGCTCTGAGATGGATGTGTGCGTGCTTGTTTGTTTGTTCGTTCGTTCGTTTGTTCGTTTGTTTGTTTGCGTGTTTGTGTGTTTGTGTGTTGGCGTGTTTGCGTGTTTACGTGTTTGCGGTTTGCGTGCCTGCGTGTTTGCGTGTTTGCGTGTTTGTGTGTTTGCGTGTTTGTGTGTTTGTGTGCTTGCGTGTTTGTGTTTGCTTGTTTGTCTGTCTGTCTGTCTGTCTGTCTGTCTGTTGGTTGGTTGGTTGGTTTGTTTGGTTGCTTGCTTGGTTGGTTGTTTGTTTGTTTGCTTGTTAGCTTGTCGTTTGTTTGTTTGTGTGTTTGTGTGCTTGTGTGTTTGCGTGTTTGTGTGTGTGTGTGAGTGTTTGTGTGTGTGTGTGTGTTTGTTTGTTTTTTGTTTGTTTATTTTATTTTTTGTTTTTTGTTGTGTTTTGTTTGTTTGTTTGTTTGCTTGCTTGCTTGCTTGCTTGCTTGCTTGCTTGTTTGCTTGCTTGCTACCTTGCTTGTGTGTGTGTGTGTGTTTGTTTGTTTGTTTGTGTGTTTGTGTGTTTGTGTGTTTGTTTGTTTGTTTGTTTGTTTGTTTGTGTTTGTGTATTTGTGTGTTTGTGTGTTTGTGTAGTTGTTTGTTTGTTTGTTTGTTTGCTTGCTTGTTTGTTTTGTGTGTTGTTTGTTTTTTGTGTGTGTTTCTTTGTTTGTGCGTGTGTGTGTGTGTGCGCGTGTGTGTTTGTTTGTGTGTTCGTTTATTTTTTTGTTTGTTCGTTTGCTTGTCGGTTGGTTTGTTTGTTTGCTTGTCGGTTTTTGTGTTTTTGTGTTTGTGGGTGTGTGCGTGTGTGTGCGTGTGTGCGTGTGTGCGTGTGTGCGTGTGTGCGTGTGTGCGTGTGTGCGTGTGTGCGTGTGTGCGTGTGTGAGTGTGTGTGTGTGTGTGTGTGTG